AGCATCATTTAAGATGTTTAGCCATGAGCAGCACTTACCCCTCCAGCTTATCTTCCTAGCTGAATCCAGAAATATCACTGTAATGCAATATTATGTACAATACCATGGGTCAATAATCTTCACAGGTGCCCATTTTCTCACTAAAATACCAATCTGAGCACAGATTAATTATGCAAAGCTCTAAAATAGCTATCAAGATAGTTACTGAAAAATCGATCTGTGTTTCCAACTCGTGCCTTGTTTTAACAGCAAAGTTATAAGGTCTCAATATATGGCACACAGTTTGCATATATTTAGGTATCAGATTTTGCATCCTATATTATACTGATAAATAGCTGGAATTGCCTTCAGATGCATGGCTCTTAAAAAACCACTCAGATATGGGGTATAATTCTGTGGGGCACAGCAAATCTATTCTGATGCACCTGCTGCATTTGCAACATTGAGTCCAGGATGGGAGGCAAAGCCTTCCTTGGTCCAATGCCTGTTCCAAAATACTTTGCAACTAACAATATAGTGAAGATGTTTTCAATAGTTCTGTTTCCCTAGTTATTTCACAACAGTGAGCAGGAGATGGAGAAGTACCATTGAAGGAAAATGAATCCCAAGGGCTGGAAGAGGCAGCAGCAGCAAAGCAGCATCACGGTGCCTCGTAAGGCAATGGAAACATGTCGGTCCTGCTTCTCTTCAGAGGCAAATGATCAGAAGTTGGTACCCCTTTGGTTTACTCCCAGAGGAACATAACAGTCTGTAAAGCTATGCAACTTCTGCACTGGCAGTATTTTGCAATAGTATTTGGCAAGACACCCAGCACTAGCAGCTTGCCAGCTGCCCTCACTGTTTCAAACAAGACTGCCAAGAAGTAAGATGTGACATGTCTTTGAATAAAGGAGCTGTGAAATAAATTTAGACATCAGTCTTGCTTACCCACAATCCCCCAACCTCCAGGTGCTTTCCTGCCCTAAGCCACAGAAAAGACAATAGTTGCAAAGTAAAGCATTTCAAATATGAGGGAATATGGAAGTTCTCTCTCCTCCTCAGGTGGTGCTCACAGGGTGTCGGAGAAACTGCAGTGAAAAGGTCACATGAAGATACAACCTTACTTCTTCCTTTGCTAAAGAGCAAAGAGAAAGAATCCTAACACAGAACTGGGTAAGGGAATCTCCATTACAGGTCAGGACACCAACACACAAATCTGTGGCACGGAACATGTAAAACACCACCCAAAAACCTTCATAAGACAAAACTGGCAAAGCGACACCTACTGCCACACAGATACACTGTGTGAAAGTGGTGGGCCAGGATGGAGATTCCTGCACTGGAAATGGGGCTTTCTGGAAGGAAACACTGGACATTTTCCCCACTTCAGCCTGCAGGCTTGAACTTCTAAACTGGGACTACAACCAGCTGTCACCACCCACTCAAGATCTCTGAGCCTGTTCTCCCAGGCCCAGTTCTCTCCTAGAGAAATTAGTCAAGTAGCGATCCTCTCTTCAAACATAGAGGATGTCATGGAAATGCTCACTTCTGATGATCATCACCAGCAAGCAACCACCAGATCCCAGCCCTCCTCCCAGTAGGACACACACTGCTGTGACAGCATCAAGGTTCTGGCTCCTTCATGCCAGCCTTGGGCAACCTGCTGCATCTTCCACCAGACGGCCCAGGCTGAACACAAGGAGCCAAGCGAGCCCTTCTGCTCGCCTCCTTCAGCCTATCCAACGCGGCAGAGGTGACACAAGATGTGGGTTTGAACCCCTCAGGCACAGGAGCAGGAGCCCAGGTTTCAACTAAAGGAACACAGCCTGCTGTTCAGACAAATGCCACCACAGCAGCTCCCAGGGAAGGGTGAGCACTGGCTCCTCTTTGGGCAGCATTCCCAAAAGGAAACACACAGCTGCATCCCAGGCGATCCATCAGCGCGTGTGTTTACGATGTGCTTGCCAGGTGTCCCACTTTCTTCATCTCCTAAGGGCTTTGGTGCTCAACTGCAGCAGCTCTAGATAAGGCGCTTAAGAACTTTCTGCTCAAAGGGGAGATCCAATATGTTTAAGACACTTTCAGAGTCAGGCAGACACAGTGTTAGGTGGTTTGGAAGACCTTGCGGGAATAAATTCTGTTTGAGAATTAGGAAAGCAAGCAGGAACCAGATTAACATATTTTATAATGTTCTTAAAGCAGCGAAAGCCTTTCAGTTCTACTTTGGGAAATGTCTTTTCTTTGTAGGAGATTTTAGCATATGGATAATACCTAAACTAGAACAAAATTAATCGTTCAATACAAACACTCAAAGAGCTAACTTCAAATAAAAACAACATATTGCTTTACTACGGCTCAGTCTACATAAGCACATACATTATTTACAGTAGTTTCTAGTTTCTTGGCCTACAGAAAAAAAAAATCATAGCAGAATAACTCTTCAATGACTTAGGGATGCGCAAAAATGAAGTCACAAAACAAACCAACAGTGACTTTCCTTTTGGGAAGCGCACATTCCTTCAAAATAACATTCTTCTTAATGACAACTGAAGACAGCCAAAACAAAAACATAATTTGGAACTGCAAATATGTGTAATCTGAGTTCTATTTCCATGCAGAAATGCAGGGTATTTGTGTATAAAATGGCTTGTAGCCATGGGACAAAAGAGCCCTAGTTACTTGCATGCAAATTATAAAACTGAAACCATCTGGAGAATGATCTGGGATATATGGAGGACAGCCCAGGAGACAATTGATGTGTGGATGTGGCTGAAGGATCACAGCTTATTAGCAGCTTATCCTGTATGGATAGGAAGGAAAATAGGATTTGACATACCCTCTTATACAGTGATGATTAACATGAACCTGCAATTAGTATGCATGGCATTTTAGATTGACAGATGAGTTCCATCATAAACCCTAGATCCCAAGAGAAACAAGAGATGCTTTGCATCTAGTTTTATTTGCTAATAGCTGGATCATTTTATTTAATATACTTTGTTTTTGGCCCCCAGCATACCCTACTGAAATATTTTGTTGCTGGGTCAAGTCAGCTTTGGAGGCTTGCAGCTACTCCAGCTAGCTAGGCTGAAGCAATTCTGCATATTAAAAACCACCGATCACTATTTTAAACACATGCCATTACAGTCAAATTATCCACCTACTTGTGGATTGACTTTAAACAAGTCAAAAACTGAACAGAGTTGTGATTTTAAAGTGCTCACATCTTAAAACTTGAACTATTAGCTCCCTGAAATACATTATTTTAAAAGCAGAGTGGACTAGGAACCACCCAACTACTGTACCCCCATAAGTCTTTTGAAGACTTCTGTTCAATAAGACTTGAACATCCAGCTTTGTCAGGCTTCTTAGAGAGATACCTGTGTCCCTGGAGAATGAGAATGCACACACTGATTATAAAAAGCAACAACTCCTATGGGCTGTTGATTATCACGATGAAGATCCCCTCAGAACAACATAACCAATGAATTACACGTCTTGCAGCACTCTGGATGCAGCCCATGTATTCACCAGTCCACATAACTTTCCCTGAGGAAATGTTTAATCCTCTTTGAAGATTACAATAGATTCTGAATTTATTACATTTGCATGAAAGAAATTAAATGCAAGGGCTGTCAACATCAATTTTGAGTGTCCAGTATAAATGTCAATGCTATTTCAATGCTTAGACCACATAATAAAGAGGCTGTAGCACTTACTGGAGAGAAATACAGAGATCACTAACTGGTTTTTGCTGCCAACTAGTGCATATTTCTGCTCTTCTCAAAAGAGAATCTCAAAAATTAAGGGAAAGAGCCTGAGAGAATTCAGACTTAAAAAAAAAAAGCTTTGCAGGAGCATGTAAGTCTCAGCAAGGAGAAGCCAAGGAGCTCTGACCAATGCTCACAAAAGCACTGAGGCAGACATCCTACAAGTAAAAAGTCATGCAAGTGAATATTACTCCTTCAAGCTCGATCCCCCTCTCCTTAATTCAAATCCCTCAAGTCTGCGTCAGAATTTTACCTTCCCATAAAACATCTGTGCACTAATACTTTGCAACTTCTTCTGCACAGGAGGAGGAAGCATTATTTTAATTCTCTCCCTGCCTCCAACCTTCTCTCATGCTGAAGGTGTTTAAACGGGTGAAGAGACAATTCCAGTCCTTGCCTCTCTGGCACAGAGACCACCAGACAGAGGGACTGCAGACCCAAACCGCGTTCACTGTTTTGCCTCTGCAAGGCACAAAGCAAAGCTAACCAGGGTCTCCTCATCCTAATGGGCCAGAGGTAAAGGATTCTGGAAAAGGGCTCTTTCACCTGCTCTAAATGTAAACGCCCAGCCATTCTTCACCTCTTAAATGCCTGATTCCAGCATAGCTTTAGTGTCTTTATGGAGTTAAGTAGTGGAACTGAAATGGAGTTTGGTGGTGTCCGTAGTTGCATCCCAGAAAGTAAACCCTCCCACACCGAGCCAGCCATGCAAAATAAAGCATAGTATGTAAAACTACGTATACACGCGTAAAAACATTAGGGCAAGAGTACTAGCAGGAGCCAGTAACACTGCTGGAGAAGGGTGGAAATTAAAAAAAATCCGTGAAACACTAAATGACCTTAAAACTTCTTTGCATACACAATATCTAAAATTATAGCGGCGGGGGCGGGGGGAGCAGAAGTTTCTCCATGTTTGTTTGTTTATTCGCCTGCGAGCACTTTGCCCCGGGTCCGTGAGCGGACCGCAGCCGCTGGAGCCGCACGCCCAGGCGGAGCGGCGCTTTCCTGCGGGAACACTTCCAGCCCCGGCCCCTCCGCCGGAGCCTGGCGAGGGCCGCACCGAGCACGCTGCCCGGGACCGCCGGCGGTGTGCGGCGGTTCGGGCTGCAACAAAAGGGAAGCGAAACGTCCCCGGGTGAGTCCCGTGTCCCCGGGTGAGTCCCGTGTCCCCGCGCCCGCGGAACCTCCGCGGCTCCGGACGGGCTCCCTCTACCCCGGCCGTGGGAGGGGGCACGGCTGCACCCCGCGTACCTGCCTCCCTCCGGCCCTCCGTCCCTCCGCCGGCCGGGGCGGGCCGGGGATGTCCGTCCGTCCGTCCGTCCGCTCGTCCGCCCGCTGGAGCTGCCGCTTCCTCCGCCGTGCCGCGTCAGCCGCGCTCCTCCCGCCGCGGCCGCGGGATGACGGGCTCCCCTCGCGGGGCTGCGCCCACCCCGGAGCGGCCACGGGCCACCGCCGCTCCCCGCCGGCGCAGGCGGGGCCGCTGTCGCTGTCGGTGTCGCTGTCGGTGTCGCTGTCGGTGCCGCCCCCGCCGCCGGCCCGCCCCGAGCAGCGCCCCCCGGGCGGCGGCAGCCGGGGTCAGGCGGGGACGCGCAGCCGGCCCCGCTCCCGCCCGGGGCCCCGCGGCTGCAGCTGCCCGAGGGACCGCGGAGCCTGCGGCTGCCGGCAGGCACGGGGTGTGCGATCCAGGCTCGGATTACCGCGATCCTCCCGCTAAACCGGCAGATAATCCCGGGCGACGCCGTGCTCCCCACACGCGGCACCCGGCTGCGCCTCGGGAGCGACTTCCGAGAGCTGACGGCGCTGCCAGGCCGCTGGCAGGGACTGTGCCCCATCGGGACACGCACGGAGCCTGCCCAGCACCGGGCCGCTCCGCCCGCTGCACAGCGCTCACACCCTGGCACGGAAAGATGGTTTTAAATGCCGATATTTTATCCATTTGGGGCCGCAAAAGCGGATCAATCGGGCGGGGTGGAGGAGAGGGGCATCAGAGACATCAGCTAGGGTACAGAAGCATCCTCCCCACTCTGTCCTGTCAGCATTATTTTGCCTTTTTTCTCAATAATCGCCTTCAGTGCTCATTTCTCACAGTAGGATGTGGTAAAAATAGTTATCAGTTAGTCTCAAGCAACATTTGTTATCTCTCTTTTGGCTGCTTTTCTATGCTTCCTGGCACACTTTCTTCTCCACAACTTACCACAGGATGCAGCACAGCAAAACTCACCTCACCCTTAATTTGTGCAATCCAGCTCAAAACACTTCTATCAGATTCATGGTTCTGGGTATGGCCAACTGAGGTCCCCACATGGCACACTTTAGGAGATGGCACCAGCTCAGATACTTCACAAAATGATTTCCAGGGAGGCCTCAGTGAGAGGATGCGAGATGAGGGAAATTTTTCCAAGCACAACCAGGACACAGGTGAATTGTTTTGAGTGGTACTAAGAGGAAGGGAAGAGACTGCTGAGGACAGCACAGCTCTTGCATCCTGAGATGCTGGAAAGTTAGAGACTATAGTACGGGCAAAAGTGAATCCCAGAGAATGAGCTCAATATGATGGTCTGGTATAGTTAATCTGTTGTCATAGTACATCTTAAAAGAATGATTCCTAAATTACAATGTCTCTTCAGTACAGTTTGGATAGTTCCTTCCTTCCCAGCTTTCAATGAAGCAAAGGAGTGAGATAAAAAAGTACAGCTAAAAGCCACATCTTTTAGGAAAGGTAGGTATAAGCAGTTCTTGCCAAGGTGGTCATGTTTTCATGCAAACTTCCTCCCTTCATCCAGGGATTTTGCTACCATGTTTTAGTGGGAATACTGTTTTGACCCATCATTATGCTCAGTCACCTGAGCAGCTAAAATTCATTGCATCCCAAGGCAAGTGGTCAATGTCTCAATCTCCAGGTGAAGATCAGAGGCAAATTATGTCCCTTAGGGATCCATACTGGGACTAGTGCTCTTCAATGTCTTCACCAATGGCATGGACAAAGGGATTGAGTGCACTCTCAGCAAATTTACAGATGACACCAAGCCAAGTGGTGCTGTTGAGAGGCCTGAAGGACAGGATGCCATCCAGATGGACATGCTCCAGAACTGGGCCTACGGGAATCTCATGAGGTTCAGCAAGTGCAAGACATTATACCTGGGGCAATCCCCGGTACCAGTGCAAGCTGGGGGATGAATGGATGGAGAGCAGACCTGTGGAGGAGGACTTGGGGTGGATGAAAAGCTGGATGTGACCCAGCAATATGTGCTTGTGATTTAGAAAGCTGACTGTATCCTGGGCTGCATCAAAAGCATCAGGGCCAGCGCATTGAGGGAGGGGATTCTGCTCACTTCTTTGCTGTGGTGAGATCCCCACCTGCAGTGCTGCATCCAGCTCTGGGGTCCCCAACACAGGAAAGACGCGGACCTGTTGCAACAAACCTTTGTCCAGACAAGGGAGGTCCTTAAAGATGTTCAGAAGGCTGAAGCACCTCTCCTATGAAGACAGGGTGAGAGTTGAGATTGTTATAGGAAGGTTGACCTTATAGCACCTTCCAGTACCTAAAGGGGAGCTAGAAAGGAACTGAAGATGGTACTTTTTACAAGGGCAGGAAGTGATAGGACAGAGGATAATGGCTTTAAACTGACAGAGGGTAGGTTTAGATTAGATATAAGGAAGAGAAATTTTACAATGTGGTGATGAAACACTGGAACAGGCTGCCTGTCTGTGAGTGGTAGATTCCCCATCGGTAGAAACATTCAGGTTCAGGATGGATGGGGCTTTAATCAATCATTGCAGGCAGTTTGGACTAGATGGCCTTTAGAGGTCCCTTCCAACCCAAACTATTCTATGATTCTGTGTGTCTGTGATCATCCTAACCTTATGTTTCTCATAAGGCTTACACACATTTATGTTAGCACATGTGGGTGTCCTTGATCCATCTTGCATGTGTAATTATTTAGAATACAGTCACACAGAAAACTATTTTCAGGATGACTTCCAAAAGGCAAATCTCCAGACAAAAAGATTATGCAGTTCGACCCATTCAAGAGACCCACCCCTGTTATGCAGAAGTAATGCTAAAAAGTGATGAATGATTCTAGCTGTATTATTACTTGGGAGAAGGGGTTTGATTAACAAAACTAAACATTCCCTGTAAGGCCTAGATTTTCAGGAGTTAATCTGTCAGTATAAGAACCCTATTTCTGCACTGGATTACATTAGCAGAGACAGAACTGAATAATAGATGTAACCATTCCTTCCTTCCCCTTCTCTCACAAAGAACCTGAATGAGGAAAAGGTCTTGAAAGATCTTCTCCCATATCAGGACAACACTAAGAACAAAAAATGTTCTTTCCCCTTCCTAAGAAGGAAAAATCTGTTCCATCCCAAAGTAGCCTATAACCTGATGTATCATCTCAACATAGCTGAGCTTCTTAAACACTGCATAAAGTGCCTACAGAATTCCTATTTCCAAAGCTCTAACTAGGTATACTTGTATTGTTTATTCCTTACCAGAAATTAAAAATTTTTAAAACAATCCATCTTGAGTGAAATCCACTTCAGTTAACTAACACTAACAAGAAACTCTTTCTTGAGTTTTCCTGGCACTTAAAAGAACAGAGAGATGGCACAAAGGAACACAAAAGGTCAACTGTAAATAACATATTTTATCAGTTGAGGGGTCTGAGGTGCTGGAAGTCTCTTCTACTCCTTTTTGTGTGCATGTGTGTGTAGAAACACTACAAATCCTTGTTTGACCTGATATAATTAATTTTTTCCTGCTTCACATGCACTTTGGCACAAACTAGGCAACTGGGGAAAGACACGGTCCTCTTACAGGTGACAGGTTGCCATGCTGGCAGCCTGGGGAAAAGTTTCCAGTCTGGACTACAATGTGCAGATGCAGCCACGGTGGTGGAGTTTCCAGCAATGGAAAGTTCATGCTCTTTCCAAGTTTATTTCTCTCCACCAGACACTTTTCTGTTGCTAGTTAGGCTATTACTAATCCTGTACAGACACAGCAGAAAACTTAAATATCAAAGAGAAAATTAACCATCTCCACTTCAATGTAAGCAGAGTTCACATACAGTAAAAGCCTCTTAAAAAAAAAGGAAACAAAGGAAAAAATTACTTGCCACTACAGCCAACCTTTTATTTCATCTTAGTTTTCCTATAAGAATGGCTTTTTCCTCTTGCTCTGGTGAGGACACAAGTACACCCTCAAGGTCCCTAATGCCATGTACTCTACACTAGGAAGCACTAAACTTAGAAAATCTTTAAAAGATCAGTCTCAGGCTGGCTGCTGAGCAAACAAAGCTAATAGATGTGCCTCATTTGTTTCCTCATGTCTGCTCCACTGTTTGTTTTCTTCTCTTATGTGTATCCTTCCAGACAGGTTGATTTGTTTAACTACACTCAGGTCAATGTCTGAACAGCACACCTAAAAGCACCACCAATACAGAAGGAGAAAACAGAGAAAAAACAGATTATGATGATGACATTCTGCTTTTAAAGGATAACAAAACTCCTGTCAACATCAACAGTCTGGTCCGCAGAGTGAGGTCAGAGTAAACCCTTTGTGTAGTAACTCAGTAGTTGTGGATATGATGCATTGCTATCTTACTATGAGAGGCCAAACAAAGGGGAGAAACATCTTTTGTGAGGTCACCAGGACTTCTGCCTTCTTGCTATACTTTCTTTCATTCTCCTTCTCGCTTCAGCTATTTGCATGCCTCCGCCTTTCATCCCTTTGCACGTCTTTCCCCCTAGCAACTCTGCCTTCATACATCCTACTTCTGCCTCCTCCCACATGAAGAAGCCACGTAATAGCACGGGCTGAACTTCAGAGGGGAAATTGCAAAGACAAATGGTTGTTAGCTGATGTAGACTTGTAGCAAGCTCTCTAGCACTATGGGCTATGAGCCAAAGTAGGGATGAAAGAAATAGAGCTTGACCAAGGACAAGTGGAGTAAAAGAAGTTTTAAAAATTTTGAAGCAGAGAGCAGAGTTATATAAGGTGACCTTTTACCTTGGCTTTCTGTTCAGCAGACCTGACAGTACATGCTCAGGCTGGGTAGATCCCCCACAACTACATACTAACCAGGTAATAAATTGATGATTACGTATCATGAGAAAGGCTTGTTGTGACATGGATTCATCTGCCACTGAATCCATGTTCATGAAGGAGCTCCTGTCTTCAGGCATGTAAATTCCCTTTTTTTTCCACAGCAAGTTCCTGAAGGAATTATGAAGTTCATCTTCAGGAGTCTAGCTAACAGTTCATATTTCTAATATTCGTACCAGGTATAGTATTGAAAATGCTTTCCCCTAATAAGGTAGTATAACACATTTTACTGCACATTTGAAACATGGACCACAGCAGTTAAGATGAAATTTTAACACAAATGTCAAATAAAAAGAAACTTAAATGCTTTATTGAGCTCCAGGAACTTAATTACCAAATCACATCTGGGGATCCCTACCTCTCATTGTGTCTTCAAGAAAAAAAGTCTAGATGGGATTTTTGCAGAATTGGAGTTCATGGACAGATATTCAGAGGAGTGTAAGCCATGTTTCCTAGTCTTAGTTGTTATTAAGTAATGGTTATTTGCTGTTTGATCCTGAGACATGATGAACATTGGTGCAAGATGTTGCCAAGTTTGTAGGTCATATTTCAGGACATGTAAGCACTGTTGCTTTTCCCCTTTCCCCCTAACTAGAGGCAGCTTTCAAGTGAATAAATACAGTTCTTTCCCTGGAATGGTGAGAGGTGTGCAATTAAGCATCATATCCTCTGTCTAGGTAGGTAGAAATCACACTTTATTTTCTTTCTCCTCTTCCAAAACCAAAATTTGTTATTCCTCAATCATATCATCTTACTCAACTGTTGTGACATATTGTGTTGCTATTTCATACTTTAGTGTGTTCTCTGCAAAGTTCAAAGTTAATCACACCAGAAGTTTAGCTGCCTTTCAGCTTTTGTTGCTGGATGCACTGTAACACCCATCCCATTCACACCACAATCCTGTTAAATTTTTGCATACAAGGCACAGCATGTTTTTTGCATTCAGGATCCCTGCTGCTGTGAACTATTTATCACATGAAACATCAGTGATGCTACAGCATCTAAGAGTCAACCTCTGCAAGCACAATTAGCTAAAATAATGGAAGACAGTATATTTTTCAAATCTGTAAAAAGCTGTTTTGAATTATTTTTAAATTTAAAATATTTTCAAAATTTGAAACTGTTTACTTTAAATATATTAAATTACAATTCCCAAACATCCAGCAAAGAATTATAAGCTATTTCTCTACAACAAGATACAAGAAAAAAGGGCAGTATGGTATGTATTACAAAGATGAAACATAGTTGTTGTATCAAGATACCTCCAAATAGAAATCCAAAGAATACAGCAAACAAAATATGAGAAGACATATAATCATTTTACTCAATGCAACTGTAAAAGTTAAGCAGATTGTAAGTTAGAGACCCTAAATCAAACCCTAAGTCTACTTTTGCTTCTTAAAACAGTTGTATAAAAGGGAATTGGGATTAAATCTTAGTGCTATGGCGGGGGGGGGGGGGGGGGGGGGAAGTGTCGTAATATAGCAATGTAAGTTTCCAAGAAGATAAAATTTAATTAACTTACCAAAGTTTCACTTCAAGAAAATATCCCACATAGAAAACAAATTTATTTAATGAAATGGTTTTTTTGTTTCTTCTCCTTTTTCCTTTCTGTCCTAGCTGTGGTTGCCGTTTTGGGGAACATGAAAACCCCTGCCTCATGTGTTTCCCATGAGTTATCAGGAAGTAGCAACAATGAGTCAATAGCTTTCACAGATACAAAATCCCAAAACCTACCACAAATTCATGGAGGTGTTCCTGTATGTATTAATACAGGAGTCAGGGTCTGAAACCTTTAAAATAAGAGAATAAACCCTTTGAGTGGGCAAGATTACAAGACTGTAAGGAAGCTGTAATCCATTTCCAAGTGAAGTGGAAGGGTTACTAAAGTTTCTATATGTGAATTCTTTTATGTATGTGTCAGCTGGAAGTGTTGTTACTTAATGCTTACTCATCAACGGGCAATATTTCCAGCTCTGCTGATAGCAAAAGTACAACTTAAAAATGAAATAAATTTTTTGTTTTCCTTCAGTTTTGTTGTTCTGCTTTCTTATATTTTCTGTCTTCTGTTCTATGAACTCTTCTGCCCTGTAATGCAATTCAAATGCAACCAGACTAAGGAAATGGATGACATCTCTACCATAGGGGCAAAATGGGGAAGAACTGAAGTAACTATCTTTTTTTCTTTTTTTTTTTTTTTTAAGTCTTGCACACAGACATAAGCATAGTGAAATTTAGTGGGCATACAATGAAAGGGTAGTTGAACTGTGCAAGAGAGTAGGAGATATCTACTGTACCCTGGGGTCTTCAGTGTGCTGTAAGTCTGGGCTAAAATCATCCATTTTGTAATCAACTTTTGCAGAACTCCAGCAGGAAAGACCCAGCAAATGTCCCAGGTGTTCTGACCAGCAGTCCGTGGATCTGCTGTCAGTAGAGCATATTTCAAACACCAGTAGCTTTCTGCATCTGAGGTAGTTTATTTGGTGGTGGCAACAGCTGGAAGTTTATGAGAAATCCTTTGGCACACAATAGGAGATGGCTGCTTGTTTGGGAAGAGTCTGGAGTCTACGGAGTGACCAAGGCACAATAAAAGTAGGGATTAGATAAACCTAAATCAATATTAAACCAGCGGTAAAAATGGTTCTCCACTTCAGAGAATTTTCAGATCCTATCTGTTCCTAAGGATTTATTTGTCTTTCCTACACCTAGACTTGAAAGACAACATTTTGGGTGCAGTTACATATCCTCTACTTTCTTCTTTGTCTTATTCTGGCAACTGCAGAAGGTTTACCTGCAGAAGGCCTTCTTTGAGGGGACCGGTATTGTGCAACAAGGATGAGGCATTGTTGTGATTCCCTTTCTGAGGAGCTGGTGTTTCCCACTCTGCCAGACTGCTTAGGTGTCCCCCTGTGTCAGAGGTTCCACAGGCATTTCTTTCTTCCCACACCACAGAGAGTCAGTGAAGTGCTTTGGAAGAGCCGAGGTGGGAATAATGCTCTTGGAGGGGTAACAGCTTCAGTCAAATATTCTTTGGTCTGTAGGTTACTATAGCACTAGCTAAATCTTGCAGCTCTGCTAACCCATATATCAGAAGGTAATCTCTCAGTCTCTTTTTCTCAAACTATCATTTAGCTTTTTTTTCTATTTTTCAATGTAGCAAGTTTTTGTCTTCATCAGGAACACTCCCCCAAATTTCACCTTGAGTGCTGGGCTGGCTACTCCTGGTGTAAACAGGAGGTGAACAAAGCTTAACAGGACAACAAGGAGTGGATTTATCAATCATATTCACAAATGGGAAGGTAGGAAAGGGTTGTGAGTAGAGCAGACTATTTTTCATGAAGCCATAGTATCTCTAACATATTTTTTCTGATTTTCTCTATGTCTGTATCATGATTCTTTACGAGATTTTAACTCACAGTTTGTGTGTTACCTGCCTCAGTTACCTTGCTCTTGCGTGCTTACATGATGACATCCATTCTTTCTCTCAACTTTATTTCTTCAAGATCATGATTATTTTGTTGTTGATTTAGCTTAGACCTTTCCCTGTCGGTTCTCATGTTTCTTGAAATGAGGTACTAGCACACCCTCTGCTTGCTGCAAGTTGCCATGTTGATCCTTTTGTATCCCTGTGACACTCACTCACTGAATCCTTTAAAAGGCTTTGCTTTTTTCATAACAATATATGTGGCTGACTCACAATCAGTTTGTGATTCACTGTAGGCCCTGATCCTTTCTGAAAAATGTTTCCAATAAATGTGCTCCTTTATCCTGTGATTATAAGTGAGATGTTATTAAAATATTATATATGCTAATTTCTAATCTTATTTATTTCACTAGCTTGTCAAGAGAATTTTAAACTATACATTTCTCCCTCAAAGTGCTTGCAACTCTTTCCAGCTTGGTGTTTCCCACAAGTTTGATAAGGATAATCTTGCATGTAATTAATGAACAGACTGAGGACAGATGCCTGCATAACCTCATTTTGATATGGTTTTACAATTTGGTAGTGACCAGCTGTTCTGCATATGCTGTGGTTACGTAAGTTTGCTATAATCATGGCTTTTCTATCTAGCACAGCAGTATCGGATCAGTACATTTTCTGCCAGCTTGATTGTAAAGTGCAGTGTGAGAGGGTACCAAAACTCACGAATGCCAAGATCAGACAGCTAGCACTTCTTCTGCTGTATGTGCTCTGCCCTCACCGAGAGAAAATAGGTAACCATATTGGGCTAGCATTGTCAAACATTCCCACCAGAAATAATGCACTTGCAGTGCTATCCTTATATCCCCTTTATTACATCTTACTTTCTGCTTTTGCGTCATTGGATTTTTTTTCCCCATCCTGCTTTCTATTTGGTAATTTGATTTCATGGATTTTTGCCATGTGGGTTTGTTGTTGTTGTTGTTGTTGTTGTTGTTGTTGTTATTGTTGTTGTTTTTGGTTTGGTTTGGTATGGTTTTTTTTTGAGGTTTGGAGTCAAGGTCATTGTTTAGCTGAAGTGATTTTTCTTCACTTTACTGTTCCTTGGATCAAGCTGGCTTGCACATGTAACCTCAGATTTTTTTCTGAATGATTTTTGATTTTTACTTCCTTCACATTCAATATAATCTGGAAATGTGGAGAGTTCCCAAGATGCTGTATCAAAGTTGTCTTTCTTTCACTCTCTTGTTATTTCATCAAGTTGTGCAACTTGTTTGACACTTTACTCATCTAGGTTTGCTCAGATTTAAATCTGGAAAGCCTTCCCCATAGGATGCCTGACATACTCTGTATGGACAGAATCTCTCTCAAACTTTCTGCCTGTGAATGAGCTTTCTCCTGCTGTACCTGCAGATAGCTCTTAGTCTGAGTAGTGAGCTTGCCTTTAGTACGATTTTATTTGAATAACCTCTCCTTAAAATTTTATCCCCTGAGTCATCCTTATGCAGTGCTCTATAGTATCATACCATAAGGAGGATATTTCCTCTGCAGTCACTTGATCCACTGGCCTGAAGAGTTCCGGACCTCAGAACAGGCACTCACGTTCTCAAAGTGCAGATCACGGTGTCCTGTCATTCTCCAGCACAAAATGTTCTTCGAGACCAGCATCTGTCTTGCGAACCCCCACGCTTGTCAGGCAAATGAATTACCAGCGCGTAGGCAAAGCTCGACCTGATTGTTGCTGCAGTGTACAACCACGCAGGATGTTCGGCAGCTGGACCCGCTGCTTTTCCTTATTTGCTTGGTCAGAAGAAAGGCAGCGGAGTGACAAAGCAGTGCTGTCCGACAGCACCGATGTCTCCTGCGTGTGGCACGGCGCTTCCCGGGATGATGGGAAGGTTCCCTCGGCGAGCTTCTGCTGACACCTGCTGCCAGAGCCGAGCCAGCACAGCCCGGCGGGCGCGGCGCCGGCCCTGCCGCGGGACTCCGGGGCGCAGCTTCGGCTTCGGACTGCCGGCGTTGGATGGGAAGAGGTAAACGCCATCCATGGTTTTATGGAAATAAGTTATATAGACCAGAAATGGCAAAGTCCCCGAGAGCAATTTGGTGGGATTTTTGTTTTGGTTTGGGGTTTTTGTTTGTTTGGTTTGGGGGTTTGTTTGGGTTTTGGTTTTTGGTTTTTGTCCTGATAAAATTAGTGAGGACAAGAGTTAATTAAAAGTCACTTTACGCATTTTCCATTATAGAAGCCAATGAGAAAATACTTCTCAATGACAAAAAAAAAAAAAATTACTTTTTTTTTTTTTTTAATAGATGGTGCATCATCATTGTTACTGTCAGTGGTTTTACATCAGATGCAAGAAAAAGCTGTTCTGCAAAGAAATTCCTGCCTAGTAGTAGGCACCCATTTCTTTGGTTTTACAAACCTCCTTTTCACTTATTTCAGTACTTAGAAATCACATCCAAGACACGGAAGTGTGTAGAGGATGCCACTTACTGGAAGGTTATTAGTGAACTGCAATGAATTAATGAACACAAGAGCTGTAGTTTAGACCTTTATAGGTGCATAAAGGACCAAGAACCTTCTGAGCTATCAGAAAACTAGAAACTATTAGAACATTTGGCTACTGGTGGTAAGGCTGTTTGTGCATGTTGGAAGGTGGGATGTAATGCTCAGCTCAGTTGCCAAAGAACAGGGCAGAAAACCAGTTGGAAGGGTTCATCTGCTTTCAGTTTTAAGTGTTATAATATCTAGTTTAAAAAGCCTCAGGAGAAAATTTAAGGACAGAGTGGATTTGTTTGTTTTTCTTTTTTTTTTTCAACTAGTTGATCCACCCCCCACCATTTTGCCATTTTGTATTTGTGCATCAGGTTCTCTCTCCAGCCTTCAACTCTGAAAAACACAGGCTCTCAGCCTGTTAAATACTTCCAAACTTGAAGCATAATCACAAGCCAGGCGTCACCGCTATGTGCTCTCTGTAAGAAGTATTTGATGTCTTTGTCCCCCATTTACATCCTTGACTTGGCAATTCATCTGTACTGGAAATGCTATTCTTTCTTTAAACTGTGTATTTGCAGAGAGAATCTCACTTAGAACCAGACAGTTAATTGGGACATTTAAATACATGGGATTGTTATACAGATTTAAGTAAACCTTTAACAGCTGATGAGATCAGTGACTGCATACACTGTGAACATACAAATCAATAGGACAGTGAGTGTGTTAGGTGCTCAACCTATTTTATTTTGAGGCATTTATCTTTTAGTGTAATGGGATTGTACCATTCGTTCAATTTGTATTTGACAGAGCACTATGGAAAGCAGATAAACATTCACAGTAATTGCCATTGAGGCTTCCATATAATCAGGTTACACATCTAAGCTAATAACACTTACATTCTCCTTTTTTATAACGGTCTACTGCCCTAAAGATTGATTTTCTATTGACAGTTCCTGAACACTGGCAGTCCTGATGAATCAATTTTGTTTGCCAGTTGTGCTGACATCAGTTCTCAAAGCAATATTCAGAGTGAAAAAATGTGGGGCTTTAACTTTGCAGAGGAGTTTGCATGTGAAATCAATTTGAAATGTTTTCAAGATAGGGCCTCAGAACTGGATTTTGAGCCAAGAAATAAAAGGGAAGCATAGGTAAACAAACCCAAACCAGTGTTGAGCAGCTTGCCTTGGATGTTGAGATTGACCAGCATGAGAGTCAGCTGTAGAGCTGTTCTCACTGGACTGGGCTGTACCTGAACCGCCACCTGGACATTGATTTTGATGCAGTAAAGACTTTGAGCAGGTTATTTGAATGGTTGTAATTAGTACTGGAAGCTCTGCCCAATATTTCTCTTTTAATATTGTTTTCCTAATGCATTAATGTTTTGCTAACACACATTCCACACTTTGAGCAGCCCAAATTTGGTCTCGTGTAGGAATGACATCAGTGTTAACAGAGAACAACTAATAGTGGTGTGAGTTGCTGAACCTGGTGCAATGGCAGCCGTTCAAGCTCTGACTCTGTGAAAGCACTGAAGGAAAACATTTTTTTAATTTTGGAGGTCATTGGAAGGCAGTAGAAGAGGGATATGGAAGTTATTCAGTTGGATGTATCCAGGACACGAGTTACCAGCCCAGGTCCCCAGGATAAGTCAGGTGCTGTTTTCTGACTGCCATTGGCTAACTATTAATTAACCCAAATGTTCCTGAAAGCCGCAGCTGCTCAGTGGTCATTCCTGTCCTTCCAGAACACTGCTGGGCTGCATGCTGCCTCTGAGGACCAGGAGAAGAGGAGGCCTGTGACCAACACCCCTCCGGAATTCCACAGGTAGCATGGTGGCAAGAGCTTGGGCTTTTAACAACGCCTGCTTAGGTGCTTATTAGGGCAAAATAAGATACAGAGTTCAGCAGTGGTCAGGAAGTGAGTGCCAAATTGGCTAAACAGGAGCAAGAAGTAAAGAGCCCACACAACACTTGAAGCTGCTCTGTGCAGTGGAGCACATGCTGTTGTTCTTTCCTTGTACTGCTAATAGTACTTATGATATCATAAGTACTATCCAGTACTACACGTTTTTTAGATGCTAGGTTGTCACATCTAAATAAAAAAAATGTTGCATTTATGGGGGGAGGTGTGATGATATTGCCATCTTCCCTCTAGCTCACACTTGTTTCTTCTCTCCTTTTTTCTTGAGTGTACATATAGAGCTTTCAGAGCCAGGTCAGGCTAAACTGCCAGTTTTGCATGCTAGGCAGGATCAGCTCTGCAAGGGTTTCAATGAAGAAAACACAGATTTTAGCTATCCTTTCTGAGGAGCATGTTGAAGTGTAGCTGAAGGCTGATAATAACATTCACTTCTTGACAACACAGACCATCTTCTAGTTTATCATGATCTGTTCTTTGGCATGCTGCACAAGCCTTTTGTTTCTGTTTAGCTGGAAACGTCTGTCATTGCCCTACCGAAGAAACAAGTGCCTTTGAAAAATAATTGCTTTGACCTGGGAATGGCCCATTTCCTGAGGGTAAATGACAAAGAAGAGACAGAATAGCACTGGGTGAAGATCAAGCTGAAATTTTTACATCTTCCATCCTGGGCCTGAAATGAATGCCTGCTACTTTGACTGTCAGTGCTTGGTTCTCATCAACGAAGTGGCACGAGTTCAGGTATGTCCTGTTGCTGACAATTAATCACTCTTCTGACCCATTACAAATAGACTTAACTTTGTAATCAGTGTGATCTTCAATCCTACTTGCTTGACTGTGATGTTGTTGTTTGCCTGTGAAAACAGCATGGCTCTTGCCATGGTCTCTGGTAGGACTCATTGCTACACTCTGCAGGGTACTTACCAACCAGGCAGACACTGTATTTCCTGAATTTTCCTGTAAGACTGCTTAAAGATTTAGTTACTTGTGTAATCTGTATTCAGCGTTACAACACAGAACTTCCTTATCCTGTTTGCCAGATACAGTGTATAAAGCTTGTAAATAAAGATGCATTTAATTTCCATAAATTATTAGTTTGCCAGAGAATTGTGATTTTTATCAAAGATTCTGTAATGAAAGTTTATTGTTGCAGAAATTGCTTGGGCAATCAATCATGATCATAAGTTTGCATATAGTTGGAAAACTTATAAATGTCATTCATCAAAAACATCTATGTTAATTAGGGTCAAGCCACCATAAAAGATAGATTCCCCTACTGAATATAATTTATCAATGAAATTAACGTAAGGAATAGAAAGGAGAAATGTTTTTGAATATACAGTCAGAGTGTTTTCATAAAAACATCTGGCTGGAGAATAAACAAAACATCATAAATTCCATTGGCTTTGACAGTACAAGTGAATTATTTCATCAGGGTGCTCTCTATTATTGAGAACAAAGTGCTATTAAATGGTAACAGAAGTGTTTATTTCCCATATGTGAAAAATTGGATTGCTCCAGAGGCCAGCGATGTTATGGAAAAATTCTTGTGACAATTCTTCAAAATGCAGGCCGGGTTAGCACAGGATTGTCACCGGACGATGCCCTGAATGGTGCCCATTCTCAGTAGCTGCCACGCAGTTTCACAGAGCACAGAGGCTTCCCTATTTGCATTTTTACTGCGTTCCTGCTGCTTATGAAGGGGAGACTAAGGAATGAATGGGCACAGACTGCTGATTTATCCCCAAGTACAAGGCACATTGGCAGGATTGTGGAGCTGGTGATGCTGCTACCTTACTGTCACACACATTAAAAAGTACTAGTAGCAGGCAAGAATGAAAATCTGTCTCATAATTTTCATCTTTTCTTCTTCAAACCTGCCATATATTTTAAAAGATCAGATAAAAAATTACACTGTGGAATGCATACATTTACACACACACACACACACACACACACACACATTTTCTGTGCTTGACAAATTACTGAAACCGAAAGGGAATGAGCATGCACAGCTCAGCTGCTGTCACTGGAAGGTGGCAGTGCTTAGTCTGTCACAGGGCCAGGCCCGGAGCCATTTTTTTCCTTAAGCCTGTGATAAAGCACAGAAACAGATTTTTTTTCCCCCTGTATGTATTAATCATCTGAATCTTTATAATTTAAATGTCAGATGCATAAATTATTGTTCATGGATTAATGAAAATGAAAAATTTCAATCCCTTTGTATTGGAAAGTACAAGCACAATACTATCTCAATGATGCAATCTCTATTATTTTAATTCTAATTTTAGATCATTTGAGTGACTATAGAATAGGTGAGGCCTTGGGATGTAAATTCCAGGTGTTTGTTTGGTAGAACAAAGGTGATGGAGGAGGGAGGAAATGGTCTTTTTTTTTTTTTTTTTTTGCCCTTGTGTTCACAGGGATAGGTCACTGGTACTTGGAAATACCCTGTGAGATTCCACTTTGTCCTCCGACATTCAGTTTTTGTTTTCCTTAATTTAAGGATAAATCTTTATCTGGAAAAGCGTTCAGAGAGCTTAACTCCTCCATTTGCTGACAGTATCCCTCCTTGAGCTCTCCACATGAATACGCTGCCAGCCCTGCAATTAGGTTGGAAGTTGTGAACATTATTCCATTTCTTTTTGGCAACAGTATCGTTTCAGACGGCCACTGGAGATAACGTAAGCGCCAGCCCCGTTCCCTCATTATCTCCTTACGTAGCACCAGCTGGAGGGATCACTCGTGTTAACAGCTTGCTCTCGCGTCTCCTGGAGCCTTGTTTTGTCGCTATCAGCAGCCGGCAGCCGGGGAACACCTCCGCTCAGATAGCTCACCCCCCGGACAAGCAGCCCGGCGTGGCTCCTCGGGAATCGAAACCCCGGCGAGGGTGCGCTGAGCTCCGGGCGCCCCGAGGCGCTGCAAGGGCAGGCGCAGCCCGGCCCCGGCCCCGGGCCGGGCCTGCCTGCGGAGGCTGTGGGGGCAGAGCCTGGGGTCACGGCCCGTGTGCCCGCGCCTGCAGGCAGTGCTGCTGGCAGGGGACTGCGCCTGGCAGGACACGCTGCTCGCCGTGCTTTTGGAAAGCTCCGTGCCCGGGGAGCCCTCGGGGGTGCTCAGATTCCCCTTCAGCAGCACTGCTGAGGGGAAGGCTGGGGCCGGCCCCCGCCTGTCCCTTCCTGTCAGCCCCTTGCCGGCAGCAGCCTGTCGGGCTGGGCAGCCTCCCGCCCCCGAGCCTGTCCAGGGGAACAGGTGTCACGGGAGGGAGCCTCGCCCGGTGCTCCTGCGGGGCGTGGGCGGGCGGGGGGCGAGGAGGGATGACACGGGGGGTGTCACCTCGGAGCCGCCCCCGAGGGGGGCAGAGGAGGCATATACGTAGAGTGTCGCCTCAAACCAGCACTCGAGGGGTACAGAGGGAGAATATACACGTGGGGTGTCACCTCAGAACAACATCCGAGCGAGACAGAGCAGGAACGTACATGCGGGGGGTGTTACCTCACACCCTACTGCCACCCCCAGCGCTCCCGCAGGAAGCGCAACAAGCGCCGCCGAGTGCCCTGCCCGTCCCTCCCGGCCCACCCGCCCGCGGACTACGCTTCCCAGCAACCCCGCCGAGCCTCGCCCCTCCCCCGCCCTCCCACTCTCCGCCGCATGGCATCACGGTCTCTGTAGTCTCTCCGTGGCACGTAGATACCGTCTCTACACTGGGCCTTGACTGCGAACGAAACTATCGCTCCCGTCCGCCCCTGCGGCGCCGCGCGTGCGCCACCGGCGTGGAAGTGCGCGAGGCCGCGGCGCTGCGGGCACTGAGGCGGCCGAGGGGCGGTGAGAGCGGCGGCGGCTTCCGCGTCGGGCGGGGGGCGGCGGGCGGCGCTCGGTACTGCACGGGCAGCACCGGCACTGGCGGCGTCTGAGAGGCGGCGGTCGTTGTGCGGCGCGCAGGGAATGCGCCTGTGAGGGCGGCGGAGGAGCGGGTGCGGGTGAAGCCCGGGCTGAGCGGAGCGGAGCGATGTCCCAGCCCCAGCAGCCGCCGCCGCCGTCCCCTCAGCAGCAGCCGCAGCCGCCGCCTCCGTCCGCCTCCAAGAAGCGAGACCGGCGCATCTTCTCGGGCACCTGCCCCGATCCCAAATGCCAGGCGCGGCTGTTCTTCCCGGCGCACGGGCCGCAGGGCAGCGGCAGCATCGAGTGCACGGACTGCGGGCGGCGCCACGAGCAGCGGCAGCTGCTGGCCGTGGAGGAGGTGACGGACCCCGACCTGGTGCTGCACAACCTGCTGCGGAATGCGCTGCTGGGCGTCAGCGGCGCCGGCCCGCCCCGCAGGAACACCGAGCTCGTCAAAGTCAATGGCCTCTCCAACTACCACTGCAAGCTCCTGGCCCCCATCCTGGCCCGCTATGGGATGGACAAGCAGACTGGCAAAGCCAAGCTCCTCACGGAGATGAACCAGGGAGACATCTTTGACTGCTCCCTCCTGGGCGACCGCGCCTTCCTCATCGAGCCAGAGCACGTCGAAACCATGGGTTATGGGAAGGACCGCTCCGGCAGCCTCATCTACCTGCACGACACCCTGGAGGACATCAAGAAGGCCAACAACAGTCAAGAGTGCCTCATTCCCGTCCACGTGGATGGAGATGGCCACTGCCTTGTGCATGCAGTCTCACGAGCGCTTGTTGGCAGGGAACTGTTCTGGCATGCTCTGCGAGAGAATCTAAAGAAGCATTTTGAGGCGAATCTAAGCCATTACAAGGCACTTTTCCATGACTTTATTGATGCTGCGGAGTGGGAGGATATTATCAATGAATGTGACCCTTTGTTTGTTCCTCCAGAAGGTGTGCCAATGGGCCTTAGGAATATTCACATCTTTGGTCTGGCCAACGTGCTGCACCGGCCTATCATCCTGTTAGACTCCTTGAGTGGAATGCGAAGCTCCGGAGATTATTCAGCAACATTCCTGCCTGGTCTGATACCTCTGGAAAAATGCATGGGGAAAGATGGCATGTTGAACAAGCCGATCTGTATTGCATGGAGTAGCTCAGGACGTAACCATTATATTCCTCTGGTTGGAATAAAAGGTGCTGCTTTACCTAAGCTGCCTAGGAAATTACTTCCTAAAGCCTGGGGAGTTCCTCAAGACCTCATCAAAAAGTACATCATGTTAGAGGAGGATGGTGGTTGCATTATTGGAGGAGACAGAAGTTTGCAGGACAAGTACTTGATGAGGCTTGTTGCTGCAATGGAGGAGGTTTTCATGAGTAAGCACGGTATCCACCCCAGTCTTGTAGCTGATGTGCATCAATATTTCTACAGAAGGACTGGTGTAATAGGGGTCCAGCCCGAAGAGGTCACTGCAGCTGCCAAAAAAGCAGTGATGGACAACCGCCTTCACAGGTGCCTCATCTGTGGGGCTCTTTCAGAGCATCACGTTCCCCCAGAGTGGCTGGCTCCTGGGGGGAAGCTGTATAACCTGGCAAAAAGTACCCACGGCCAGCTAAGGCCTGACAAAAATTACAGTTTTCCCCTGAACAGTTTGGTGTGTTCTTACAACCCTGTGAAGGATGTGCTGGTACCAGACTACGGCCTGAGCAATTTGACTGTTTGTAACTGGTGCCACGGTAACTTAATGCGTCGTGTCAGAGAAGATGGGTCTGTTTTGTATATCGATGGAGACAGAACTAATACTAGGTCTTCAGGTGGCAAATGTGGCTGTGGATTCAAGCATTACTGGGAAGGGAAAGAATATGACAATCTGCCTGAAGCTTTTCCTATAACTCTAGAGTGGGGTGGAAGAGTGGTGAGGGAGACTGTCTACTGGTTCCAGTATGAAAGCGACACCTCTTTGAACAGCAACGTGTATGATGTCGCCATGAAACTTGTCACCAAGCACTTCCCCGGTGAATTTGGTAGCGAGATTCTCGTGCAGAAAGTTGTCAACACAATACTGCACCAAACTGCCAAAAAGAACCCTGATGATTATACCCCTGTAAATATCGATGGTGCTCACGCCCAAAGAGCTGATGACGTACAGCAAGGACAAGAGTTAGAGTCGCAACTTCCAA